CTATTATTTCAAAATAATTCTTATAATTAGCGAATTTTCCATTACTTGCTGTAATTCGCTGTAAGTTGCACACCACCGTCACCCCTCTTTTTGAAATTTCAAATCGTATTCTGCTAGAAATTCAACTGGTCGAGTTGTCTGGTATGTTGGATTTGAAAAGAAGTAATTTCTAGTTAAATCCTTAGCGGTTACGATATGATAGAGAGCTTAGAACAAGTCTGGTAATTTTCTTACTGATTATTTCCATAACGCGAATTGCGAGCTCTGTTGACAATCTGACAATCTCTTGTTTCTTCTTCCCAGCAAATTTGCGACAGTTTCTTCATTACTTACTTTCTTAATCCCGCAGTGAGTTCCCGCCAGGCGAAACAGTTACAACGTTAGTGGTCGAGGTCAAGGATTTTCTTTGGATAATTATGGTAAAATTTGAACTCTAGGATTTTCAAAAGAGAATGTTCGAGCCCTAAGAAGAGGAAAAGCTAACAGAAAGTTTTTGTGAAGAAAATTCTCCAAAACTTTTCACTCATCAACTACAAACTGCAAAATTTGAAGTTAGCTTACATCTGCACCAAACATGCCAGCCTGGTGTCCATGATCCATTTACGCAAGTCCTTTGCGGTGTTCCGTGTATGAAGTATTCTGGCTTACAAGTGAAGGTTACCGTAACACCATCCAGATAATTGTTCCCTGGAGGGTATTTTACGGCTCCCGGTGCTACCAATAATGCTCCGCAAGATTGTACTGCAATAACAAACATTACTACATATGCCGAATGGATGACAGCATTGGTAATAAGGGACTTACTTCTCTGGGTCCCTTTGTGCTTCAATTCCATGAGTTTACTTTGGACTTCAAGAGTATCCATAGCAATTTCACGCCTACCAGTGAGGAAATAGTCGTATTCGCATTCATAGACGTTTTGGCAAGCCACCTGATTGCCAAACAAATGGAAAATCATTGGGAAATTGGGTCAATGACACCAAGAAAACCTACCCTGACTTCATCAAGAGTGAACACTAAGCTTGCATTATACTGAAGTCGATATGGATCATGAACAGGATTGTACCTATAAGGATCAACCTTTTTCAACAATTAATAAGAAGGAGGTAAAAATTTTAGAAATGATAAAACTCTTGAAGCAACCTTCTATCATCTCCGAACTGGAGAGGATTATAGATCGGTTTGATATCATCTTGGAAAAGGGGCTTGTGACGTGATCCATCAACCCTCCCTAGAAGTTTTCTACTTAGAAAAATAAAGTGAAATCATACATTAGTAGAAATCTATATTTTATTCGCCAAAGGATGGCAACTAGTTTAAAGGTTTTTACCAGGTTTCAGACCTCAAATCAAACTTGGAGAGGAAAAGTACTAGAAAATTCTTTTAAGACCCAGTGAACTCACATCTTGATCCAAATTTATAGGCGTTGATATTGTCCTGCTCTGTGGGTGGGTGATTGACAACAGTAATATGACCATCAGGTGACATAAGATCATCAATGGGGTTTCCATTGAACGTCCCTAACAAGCCGACGGTAACATATCGTTGTCCACCTGATGTACTAATTTTAAACAAAATATTAAGGAATGATGGACAAAAGAAACGTCCAATATGTGAATCGATAATTGAAATCTATTTGTTCCTATTCTTTTCAATCATCCAATTAAGTTTTCGAGAGATATCTACATATTGGGTTGTCAGAAATGCTCAGACAGTTTTTCAAGCTTAAGAAGCAAACTGGGAGGTGGTTGGTATCTTGTTATTCATCATTTAAAAAAATATTTTTGCTCTACAAAATAATTGTTTAAATTCCACATTTATTTGCCTAATTTGAAAATTGAATTTGAAGTCACCTGTACAAAGAGGACTCATGTCGACACGTCCAAAATTTTAAAAATCCTTGGATTTCAATGAAAAAATTTTGATTGCTATTATGAAGACTACATGGATCTCGTACGGTAAGGCTTTTTCATGAATTTACAGGACGTAGAACAAGTAGAGCCTTAGTGTAGCAATGCGATAGCGGACAATGAGCGAGTTTGATATCTTCTTGTCTTTTCGCTGTGAGCTTACGGTAACGCTCTATGGTCCTTCTCCCGTTTCAGCATGCCTAATAAGCTCATCCGGTAAAACTGTATCAATATCGCACGCTTCAAAAACTTTTAAACTGCAAATCTCGTCAACGAAACATAGAGCATTTGTATTGCCCAGGGTAATAAAAAACTTGGACTATGTCCTAAATGGACTCAAACACGAACTAATGCAGTCAGTGTGGACCAGTTCTCGTATAAGAGTCATTCGGCGGTTTTGAAGATTATTTGATAGATTGTGTTGAAATTTAGGAATAAAACAAAGATCAAAGATGTAATCAAAATTGTGCAGAGATACATTCAAAGAATACAAGAATGCAGGTGTTAATAGTGGCTAAGTCCCAGATCCACAACTAGCCAAACTGGTGGCCACAACTGTCAGAATAATGATCAAGCTTATTAATGCACATATCGTGCATAGTACCGTACCTCCTAC